AGGAGTCAGCTTGGCCCCCTTTTTTTGGCCCAGGGGCAGTGAATAGTAGGATTCGTACCACCATCAGTACAACATGCTGTCCATAAGCACAATGCAATTCTTCACCAGGGTCTTAGTGTGGACCGGCTCATTATTGGGTGTATTGTAAACAACATCAATGATCCTTGTTTTTTGAGTACAACCCTCAGAGCCCCAGGAGAAGTTTCCCACATCTACCCATAGGGCTTGGTACTCCTTGTTGCCTCCTCAAACTCAGACTGTGTGTATGCGGCAGGTGACAATCTTAGTGTTGGCAGCAGGGAGCCCCAACTCATACTTCTGCTTCTTGTGATAGGGCTTTCTTTTGCCCCCGGTCTTGTGACACTTGTGCCAGTTGTCCTGAGAGATGCCCATTGCTCGGCACCAACTGGAAAGAGCTCCAGTGAACTCCTTCCATATCCTGTTATTTAGTAAACATGGGACATGCAGAGGATAAGAAGTGTCCAGAGTGTTACCTCAGACACTGTTCATTCCACTATGCAAGAAAATTCACATTATTTTGCTGTTCGTAGTATGATCAGAATGCACATAGGTTTTTACTCTTACTTTTAAGATCATCCTACCAAAACCATCACTGGCACCGTCCTCATCACAGTTGAAGACATCAATGACAATTGTCCCACACTGGTGAACCCCGTACAGAGTATCTGTGAAGACGCACCGTATGTGAACGTTACAGCAGAGGACCTCGATGGATACCCCAACAGTTGGCCTTTCAGCTTCTCGATTGTGGATTCACCACCTGGGATGGCAGAAAAATGGAAAATAATCCGCCAAGAAAGTAAGCAATAGCACACGCCAGTAATTGTAGCACTTGGAAGGATGAGGCATGAGGATAGTTGTGAGTTCATTACCAGCCTAGGCTACAAAGTGAGCTCAAGGCCAGTCTGAATTGCATAGTGAGACCATGAGTCAAAAAGGCAAAAGAAAACTAATCAAAATTGTTAGACTATATTCAAATCATTTATAAATATTA